TTATATGCTTATGTACATAACAAATCAGTTTTCTGTCCTTGATAGCTCTGGAAACAGGTTGTATAAGGTCAGATGAATTTAATATGTCTTAAGAGAGCTAAAAGCCAGTGTAAGACAGTTTCTTAATAGGTATTAAGTGAGATAACAAGTTTGAGGCAGTTTCTTAACTGATATTAGTTGAGATAAAAACAAACGTGAAGCAGTTTCTATGGCTGGGAAATAAAACTTAAAATCTCTAAAATCTAATAAAAGTATGATATAACTTAATGATAGTCATTTTTTCTACACCCTTATATATATAACAGAAATAACTAAATAGGAAACATAATGTATCTTTGGAAATCAGATAACCCAGGCACCAAGCATCTAAAACCTCTTTTAGGATTCCCTTAAAGTTATTCTCAAAGATAAGAGTTTCCTCCTAGTCATATCCCTTATGCCTGATCCAATCAGTTCGGTACCAAGTGTCTGTTTTATGTCATTTGTATCCTTAAATGTCACTTAATTCAGCATGATATAAGGAAATCTGATGATTGTGTTATTCGATAAACATGGTCTTATCTATTTACCTAATTAGACATTTACTAAAACTAATTAAAAATAGTAATTAGCATAACATTTCCCTCAGTTTCTTGTAGTATTGGCACATCGCACCTTCCATTCTCAGAGGGGCGATGGGCCTTAAGCAGCTCATTAATATCAACTTATGTAAAAGGTCCCCAAAGAACGTAGAAAGTGGGAGTGGGAGAACATCACCAGAGGGGGGTGGAAATACCCGGTTGTCGAGTGAAGGTCCACATGAAGTTCTGCAATACAGTGAACCCTCGTTTATCGCGGTTAATCGGTTCTAGATCCTACCGTGATAAATTAAATTCCGCGAAGTAGGATTCCTTATTTGTAAATCAAATATTTTCGTAGTTAGAGCATAGAGGACATGAAAAAGCACCCTTTAGTCACCATTACACTCGTATTACCCAATTTATTAAACGAAAAAGGGAAAATACAGTAAAACATTTTGGACGTTACAATTATCATTTATTATTTATTATATTATTTATGGCATCAAGTGTGTACAGTATGAGCCAATCAGTGGCAGTAATGACAGAGCATGCGCTGTTACGCAAAAACCGCGATAGAGTGAAGCCGCGGAAGTCGAAGCGCGAAGTGGCGAGGGTTCACTGTACTTTAGGATGAGTTATTGATGTTTACTTTATATTGAACTATGTATGTGAGCATTTCAAAGTGGTAGCTACTACTCATATTTAGATGAAATGCATGTCGTTGATTCAAAAGTGTACAGTTGCAAAGAATATGTCATCAGCATTGGGATTTAATGGAAATATAAACTTTTATTTTTATAATTTTTTTATTACAAATTGGGTAAAGGTTTACAGATCAGGTCATTCATTTGGCATTCAAGGGGGCATGCTCATTTGTTTCCTATCACTCAGTGCAACAGCCCCCTGATACCACTTCCTCCCTGTCACCTGTTTGTCCTTATCCCACCTTCCCTGACCATTTTGAACTTGTTCTCCGCTCTGCCCTGCCCTCTGGGTCACAGATGGCTGATGATTCTAAGTATACAGACTTCACAAAGCCCTGTCTGTAGTTTGACTTAAAAATTGAGCCTCAGGGTTGAGTTCAGCTAGTCAGGTTGATGATTGGTTTTGGTATCAGGTTCTGATCGCTGCATCAGATGAATATGGGAGAGCGAGCACACGGCACGGGGTCCACATCTAACCTCCTCTCGCTCCCACGGCTATGACTTGAAAAGCCTCGTGGAAGAATTCCCCGCATCCCCAGGAGATGGGCATGCTTTCTTACAGAATAAGTGGAATGGATCTCAGCTCTTCTATGAGTGGTTGGTAGAATTCCCCAAGGAAAGCATCTAGTTTGGGGACTTTTGTGGTTGGGATTTTTTTAAATGACTTGATTAATTTCTCTCTTTGTCCTGCTGGGGTTTTCGATGTCAGTCTGTGCTGGTTTAGGCAGGTAATGTATTTACAGAAGGTGTGCCTGTCCTCCAGGCTTTTAAATGTGTTTAAGTAAGTTTTTCATAATATTCTACAAATATCTTTTTGAATTTCAGTTGGTTCTCTTGTGACACGGCCAAAATTTCCAAAAAAATTTTTTTCATCATTTTAATTCGCAGCTTTCTTGAACTTTCTTTCAACTCATTGAAATAATCTGAGCACCAGTCTCTTGAATTTCTTACCAGGGAGTTCTACTGCAAATCCTTCTTTGGAAAGGTCTTTGACTCTGTATTTTCATGTGTTTAAGTTATTCTGTCTTGTTTCTGCATGGGAAATGGAAGTCTCTACTTTCTTATAGACATTGTGGTTAAGCTCATTTCATAAAATTATTATGGGAGAGAGAAAAACAGCAGGGGTTCCACATTGTAGCATTGTTGTATGTATTTAATTGGTGATTATAGTGTATTGATTTATTTTTTATTATTTTCTTACTTTTATTGGGGCCTCTTACATCTCTTACTACAATCCATACATTCATCCAGTATCATTTTCAAAGCATTCTCTTCCCACTTGAGCCCCTGTTATCCGCTCCCCATTTATTTCCCCTTCCTTCCTTGCCTGTCCTCCCTCATGAATACTTGATAAGTTATAGACTATTATTTTCATATTTTACATTGTCCTCCATCGCCCCTCACCCACTTTTCCATTCTTCGTCCCCTTGGGAGGGGGTTATAGATTGATCCTTGTGATCAGTTCCCCATTTCTCTCCCCAACCTCCCCTAATCCTCCTGGTATCTCTACTCTCATTGTTAGCCCTGAGGGGTTTATCTATCCTGGATTCCCTGTTTCAGGCTCTTATCTGTAGCAGTGTGCATGTTCTGGTCTAATCTGATTTGTAAGGTAGAATTGAGGTCATGAGAGTGGGGGGCAGGAAGCACCAAAGAGCTAGAGAAAAATTGCGTGTTTGATTGCAGTGTTTTTAATTGATTATTTTGTGTTGGTGTGATTGTAGGGACTGGCCTCACGTCTCCTGGAGTGTGTGTTAGAGAATGTGAGTGAACTTGAGATTGGCCGTTTGTTTGTATAGCACTTCAGGTTTTGCTGGTGTTGGCTGCTGCCTATCCACGATCAATTGGAATTGGTTTGGTTAGTGGCCTGCACACAGTACCTGAGGCTGCAGAAGGTACAAGTGGGGCTGGGCTGCTTGGCCTGTTTGCTGACTCTAGTTAGGTTGGATAACAAAAGAACAACAAAAAGAAGCTAAAGTAAAAATAGAAAATTATAACAATAGAAGAATAATGAAGGTAGACAAACAGCACTTACAAACAAATTAACAATTAAAAAGGAAATAAAAACAAAAGTGGAGAAAAATACAACATAAGCAAAACTAGGAGAGAGGAAAATAAAAGTGATAAAAATAATAAAGAAATACCACGAAGAGAGATAAAAGAGAAAGAAGCAGAGGAAAAGAAGAAAAAGGAAAGAAAATAGTGGAGAAAGAAAGGAATTAAAAGGGAAGAAGAAAGAAAACAAAAACAAGGGAAGGAAAAGTCTGCAGCAGGGTGACTCAGAGAGGAGAAAAATGTGGAGGAGAGGCACGAATGGGGGATGGGGCGGGGGGAGTGTGAAGGTTAAAGGGACCGAGAAGCCAAATCTTGGACATCCTGCCCGTCTACCCATTGCCTGGCTTTAGGAATCAGGATGGTCACTGGTGAGGACTTGGTGTTTGTTCTTGGAAGAAACTCTTTGTGCCCAGAAGGCAGCTGGGGACAGGGTGTGTGGTTATACACAGTCCATGCGCATGCAGGATGGCCATGGACAAGCTGCATGTCCAGCCGTGTGAGTTTTCTGCTTCTGGGATGAGCAGAGCTCCTGCACTTTCAGACATGGGAGTCGTGCATCAGGGGCCCAGCCACTGGTGATGCATCTTCAACCTCAGGCAGATCAGAGACTGCCAAGGTGCAACCTACCATTGGGTGTATGAAGGGGAGGGCTGGCCCCTCCTGGATACTATGAAAATGTGGGAACAGGAGAGAATCTCATCTTTCTCATTGCCGTGTGTGTGTGTGTGTGTGTGTGTGTGTGCCGCGCCACACTAGATCAGTCTGCTATTGACTGATTATTCTAGTCTCTGTTCAATCACTTCTCTATCCTTTCTTCTGAAGCTCAGGGTTTCAGGATTATCATCAGTGGCTTTCATCTGTCCTCAGCTGTCTTTGTTATAGAGGGTCTGTGTAGAATATTTGCCTAGTCTGTCATCTTGCCAGAAGTCCAATAAAAACCTATTAATAGTAATATAGTCACAGGTTTGAAAACATGTTTGGCAAACAATCAGACTATTTGGTAAGTCTGTAAGTCATTTTAGAAACTACTTTTGCATTTGTCTATGTATGTTCTTTTGTAGAAAAAACGGGTTTTTTAGTGTAAAAACAATTGGAAGATCTCTGAGGAATAACTGAATTCAAGAGCATATTAAATAATACTCTCTAGATGAGTTAAATATTTTTATCACTTCTGAATATAGTATGTTTGGAGAACAAATCTTAATTACAATTATATTTCTTTAAAATTACATACAATAACCAACACAGCAGAATATAGCTATTGGGTTAAAGAGCATCATTTTGTGCAAAGGAAGACTAACCCAATAAATTGAACCAAATAATAATTATGTACTTACTAAACTAATACTTTAAAATATAATTTTATTCTCACAATAGTTTTTGTTCTCCTTTAAATGATTTACATTTAGAACTTTTTGTTGTAAGATAAAACACAAGAAGCTAGGAATTAAAACAATAATTTAATTATTATCATAGCAATATTTAATGATAGTGTAAAATAGTTTATGGTGGAGTTTTAGTACATGTTGAACATAATATCTGTGGTTACACCTTGTTGAGATAATATTTTCAGTGTAAAATATAGTTTATTATGGCATTAGTATTCAATTGTAGCAGTTTATTAAATATATTATTTGTTCATTTAAAATTTGAAATATACTCATTATTATTAAATATTTTTTAGCAATTGGTTTAGATTCCTGTCCTGAACCACAAACTCCTAGCAGTGGGATTAAAGTAGGAGACAGATACATGGTTGGTGATGTGGTATCCTTTCAGTGTGACCAAGGATATTCACTTCAGGTAAGGCCTTTTAGACTATTTTAAAAGATCTACTCTTGAGCTTGACTTACAGGTATATTGAACCAAGGTTGCATAGTTTAATTTTCAATAAAAAAAGATGTTCAACTCGCTAATAAGATACATGGCTAAGCTAAATTGTTAGAATTGATGAAATTGGTCATGTCTGGAAGTAATAAAAATGATATTAACTCATAAAATAAAGATGTTAAGTCAAAATTAAACTTTAGAGAACTTTTCTCACTATTCATAGAGCATAATAACAATTAAAATGCTGAGACTGTAGTGTTTAAGAAAAGCAGACTATGATAATAAACTTCCATGATAATAAATTCCCTAAATTAGTGAAAACAAACTACAAATATTTTTTGTGAAAGCAGAAATTTTGTAATATGCAGTGCTGATTTTAAATATTTATATTGATGTCATTTTGGAGACAATTTGGATGTTCTCAGATTTATGGCATCATAAAATATCTCCCTAAGGAATAAGTCCATGAAGAAATTTAAAAAACAATGAAGGCCTTATATCACATTTATTTAAGTACATTATTTAGAGAAAGGGAAAAATTAAAAATTAATAATTTATAGTCCTTAAAGTTGTATCACAAATTATTAGTCTCAAAACTATAATCAAGTTTTTTGGGAATTCATATTTCAATTTAAAATTTTGTATACTTTAATTTATATTCTTAATGGTTTCGGAATAATTTTAAAACTCTTTCACCTTGATGGTTGCAGCAGCATATTGTAAACCATTATGTTTAAGACCATTACTCATGGATCATGATTGTGAATATTAATAGCACATCTTTAAATAGATGAGTGTTAAAACCATAATTCTAATTCATATGGAGTCTCAATTTTGCTGCCAAGGTTCTTGTTATTTTTCTTACACTTACCACAGTTATAGCTATACCTTTCTGATTCTAAGCCATACTAAAATTTCCAGTAAAACTAAGAATAATATATGAATGAAAAATCTTAAAATTGCTTTCCTGTGAAGCATCACTATCCTATGGCTAGTAGCTCTGGTGATGTCATGCTTACGAGTTGACCTGAGATCTGCCTGGTTGGCAGGTCAAAAACCACCAGGAGCTCTGTGGGAGAAAGACTGGGCTTTCTACTCGTATAGTCTGGGCAGCTCACGGGGTCGCCATGGTCAGCATTGAGTAGATGGATGGCCAGGAGCTTGGTTTGGTTTTCACATTTATGTTTAGGTTCGACATTCTACAGATGTTTACTAAAGTACCCTATTTTGTTTATATAGGGTCATTCTCACATTACATGTATGCCAGGTCCTGTAAGAAGATGGAATTATCCTATTCCAATTTGTTTAGGTAAGTTTAAAACTTCAAATACTTTACATTTCCTACAATGTGAATGATATAACCTATAGTTAATGATCTAACCTGTTGATAATTTTGTTCAGACATAAAATTTTACTTTTGCCAGGATAGTAGAAATAATATATTAAAACCGTTGTTCACATCTTTTTTTGAACGTTTATATTTTAAAATTATATTGTTTAGCACTTCTATATTAACAGATGACGTAAAACTTCATAATCTGAGAAAATATTGGTTTTTCTCATTCTATATATTACTTGGTAGAAATGCTTAGAGATTAGAAAATAAGTCATTTAATCTATTGGTTATACTTGAATCAGAATAAAGATATGTAGTAGAAATAAGAAAAAAAAAAGATAATTGTAAGTTTTAGTGGTCATTTTTACATGTACTACATGAATAAATTTCTGGAGTGTGAGATTGTCTTGACTAAACCCTACCCATTGCCATTGAGTTGATGTTGACCCATAGCGCCCATAGATAGTCCTTCACGGCTTTGTAAATCTCTATGGGAGCAGACAGCCTCATCTTTCTCCACAAGGTGTGGCTGGTGGGTTTGAGAAGTCTACCTCCCAGTTAGCAGCTGAGTGTCTACCCAAACCCAACAGTGCTATTAGACCTCCTTTTCTTGACCGAAGTCTTTAAGGAAAAAAATATTTGGTAAATAGTATCAATTTCTTTCACAAGCTGTTATACTAATTTAAATATGACCTGAAATATATGGTAACTATCATCTTGTTATATTACTAGAACCAATTAATGCTCTTTAGAAGTCCAAATTTCTAAGTAGATAAAATATTGCATCCATGAATATATTTTATCTTTCAATGGATATGATTACAAATGGAAATTATATTTTAGTGAATAATATTATGTAGGAAATTAAATAAATTATTTAAATAATTTAATGGTCAAATATGTAAAACAATATTATCTAGGAAAAATTAAACATCATTTAGTAGAAAATCTTAAAAACATTATGTGGTAGAATATTATAGCGATACATTTGGTATAAACTTAGAGTCCTTGAAGTGACATCATGGTGATACAAAAAGAAGAAACTAGAGACAGAAAACTGGGAGGATTTTTGAAAATCTGATAATCAGATAAAAAGGTTACAGCCATGGGACCTGGGAAATAAGCAAAGCATCTGCGAGATATTTCTTGAGAGGAAAGGAAACTCACGTGGGATTTTATATATTAGACACAAAATAGGATGGAAAATGTTTATATATATATTCAGAGGTCTGCAGTATGGTGCCCTTTCTACGGAAAAGAAGGCAATGAGGTAGAGTCTACTTCTGTGATCATTGTTTATAAACATGAAATAAATAGTGAAGACAGGTGACTGTGTGAACATCCAGAGTCACTGGGACAATAAATATGGGTTCAGAGGGAAGGCAGCTACATTTTTTGTATTCTTCACATAGCTTTCATTGTTTTTGATATTTTCCTCCTTTATTCTCTGTATACTCTGTTCACTTGATTGTTGCATTTGAATTTTTATCCTTGAATTTTCGGATTTCACTCCAAAGGATGAGGGCAGGATTTTCAGAAAATAACTTTAAAAAGAAGTGGAATGTAGCCAACCAGAAGGACGCTGAGGAGCTCCAGGGCATAGCACTAGGCAGGAAAAGAAGCCAAGAGAATTCCACGTTCTTTTACTCAAAGCTCAGAATATAGCAAAGCAAGCCAAAGGCAAACTATAAATGCAGCCTGGACTGAAGCTTTTACAATACTTTTTAGCTAAATAGCACATTTTCCTCTACCACTGATTGTCAGATTGTTAAATATTGTTAAATTGTCAGAAAATTAAATACTGGGGACAAAAGGTAAAATACCAATAGTTCATATATGTTGAAAATTGCTTTGGTTAAAGGGAGATGAACTAATGTTTCAGAAGGATATAAAAACTGGTAGATATTTACAGCTCAATATTAAACACAAGTTTGAAAGAAAAGTTTTATTTGACTTTAAGATGTAGACATAAAAAAACCCACAGTAAAATCTCTACTTATGCATAATTAATTGTTCATATATAAAAAGTAACTGTCCAGCTGGTTATTCAGTATTGTGCAGAGTATTGCTAAAATCTCAACTTAAATTGTATACTCTATATATATGAATATGAAATGAATATTAAAAACATGAATATGACATTTGAGAATCTACCTTTTATTGTTCTTAGTAAAAGAAATAATGAGTCATATTGAAAATAAGTATTATATATAGATAACTTTTAAAATTGATACAAACTCATAAAATTTGATTTGCAACCAACAATTGGCAGATATCCATATACAACCCTTCTGTGATGCAATCACAAAAACAGATGTAAAGAAAAATTTAACTTCTAAAATGCAATCACTGTTTAAAACATCTTAAATGGTTTTAGCTAACCATGTATACATAACATTTGAATTAGTATCTCTTTAAAATTTTTTGTTTGCATTATAAAATGTAAACGAGTATAAGAAATATTTCAAAGCTCTCACAATGATGCTCAAACTCTGGAGCACCTTTTCCTTGTTTTATCCTCCCCTGATCTTAATGTAACACGTTCTGGTGGCACAGTGATTAAGCTCGCAGCTACTAACAAAAGTTCGAAAGATTGAATCTATCGATTGTTTTGCAAGAGAAAAGACTTGACAATCTGCTCCTATAAAGTTGTCAGCCTTAAAATCCCTATGGGGCAGTTCTACCCTGTTTCGTATGGTCATTAGAATTGACATAAGAGTACACACTACAACAATTCTTGTACAGATTCTTACTAGGAAAAAGACAAGTCATGGGACTTTAGAAATTACCCATAGACACCAGAATTTATCTGATATTATTTAGCATTAAGAAAACCAGGAAAAGAGAGAAGAAAATTTTCTCTTACATATGGAATATAAGCAGAGTTGATATTGTTGGTGTGATATGATTTTAAATTATATTATCTTTAGAATGAATCAAAACATTACTAGAAGTACTGAGGGCAGAACAGTTTACTTCCCACTGTGCAAAAAGACATGTCTTCCTTGTTCAATTTTATTCACTGAATATGAGCTACTACTTGGTATGCAAGAATTCATTTAACTTGCACATTTCTTATTGTGGTAAAGAATATGTTGAGTTTTTATTATTATTTTAGAAAATTAATTGCCAAATCTTTGAATATTGCTGAATAAGAGTTGACAATGCTAAAATTAACATCCAAAAGTTTAACTTTGAAATTTGATTCAAATGGAGATGACTTCAGGTTTTGTTTGTTTATTTTTTTGTTTTGCTTTTGTTACATTAAATTGTTTCCACTACTCTGGTATATATTAGAATTTCATTATTTTGCAGCTCAATGTGGTGGTGCTATGTCAGATTTCAGTGGTGTGATCCTCAGTCCCGGATTCCCTGGAAATTACCCTAGCAGTTTAGACTGTACATGGACAATAAAGCTGCCCATAGGTTTTGGTATGTATATTCAAAACAAATGAAAGAGATTTCTATATCCATGAATGCATCCTTTAAAAAATATCAGTGTCTAGTCAGTCCTTAGAAAATATTTACAGATTACAGATTGGTTTGTGAGTACAAACAATTATATAAACTAAGATATACAAGGTATGTTATTATATCTTAATACAATACAATTTCACTTGGATTATCAGGATAATAGATAGACTATTGAATGTTACTTTTAATGATATATCTCAAAGCGTCATAACATTTTTCACATGGTATGTATGGATGCATACTTAGTCACGTATGGATAGCAATGGTAACTGCAACATAAATTTATATGAACTGATTTTTTGTAACTTATTTCTTAATTCATCTAACAAAATATTGTGTGACCCAAATTTCTGGTAATCTCTTTGATTTATTTATGTTCTCTATAAAACAGATGTTTGCTTGAAAAGTATAACATTATTGCTAAGATTAAATACATATTTTTAATACCATCTCGACTTTTTAATACAAAACTCATTGTTGTAGTAGGATTGACAACACCTACATACATCTATATCAGAGACAGCTAAAAAGTATTGCTACAAAATCATAGAAAAACAAAATGGGATTATAATTGTTCACATGCCCTCCACCACGGCTTACCCCATGGTGAAAGCCTATTTCCTCTGTTCTAATCCTTTCTCAGGGAGCCCTGGGGTGCAGTGGATTGCATTTTGGGTGTCTAGACGGAAGAATTCTGCAGTCTTCTTTTGACAACATGCCAAAATATCTGTTTTTACATCCTCAAGGAACAAAAAGTGTGTTCCTTTGAAATGTTCTTTGCGTGTGGGGAAAGAGATTTCTTGGCCTTTTGTAAAAAAAATCATGTCATTTAAAATTTTCCTCATAATAATATCCTGTGCCCCTCCCTGTCCTTCAATCACCTCCATCACGGTTTACTTTGGGAATACAACCAGACAATTGCTCAAACCTTTGACCAGCTTACCTCTTTGCCATGATTTCATTGTCGATGTCTTCTCGGCCTTCCTTACACAGTTGACCCGTCTGAAATTGTTGTTCTGTGTGGGGCAGCACACCTATAGACTTGTTGCGAAGTTTCAGTGGTTTTTGAATATATCCACTTGACTTTAAATTTTTCAACTTGATATTAGCCCACTATTTAAAATTGTTTTTTCTCCATGGCACAAAGCATATTCTTATGTCAAAGGCTCCCTAGCAAGACTAAATCAAGAGTATGGTTGAGAGGAAGTGTCTGCAAGCAGCCACTGACCATAGATGCATGTTAAACCATTTTATTTGGATAAACATGTATGAGCTGCATCCCGAGTATCAATCCTTTTCAACTTACTGTATTTACCATCAATAGGAAAGCCTCTTGTAGTTTCTTCTGATCCCACGAGTCCATAAATACAAAATAGAAGTTAATGTGTTAAGGATCTGTATTCATTACATCATAGAAGACTAGGATAAGTAGATACTCTTCGAAATACAAATGAGCTGGTTTTATTACAACTAACATCTATACCGTTTCACTATATCAAGTTCTGACTTAAGGTACTTCATTAAGTCAAAATCATTTACAACGGTAGAATATAAAAACAACTTTAAATGTTTCATCTAAAATTAACAGGTATCTCATAGTTTTGACAAATCACTCTGCTAAGCACACATTGTTCTCTTGGCACTCGGCTTGCTGTTGGGAACATAATGGATAATAAAAGAGGCTTGAGGACCTTTCCCCAGAGAGCTGATAATTAAGATGAAGAGGCAGATAACTAAATATGCTATTATAATGTAGTATACTAAAACAGTATGGGATTAGAGCTAGTGGGGTCATTTAATCGAATCTAGAAAGTACAGAAAATCATAAAACAGAGTGGTTCATGAACAATGAATTTAAAGATAAGTACATGTCATGCCAAGAAAGGGGTCAACTCATGGAAATAGGAAAGAAATAATAGGTAACAAGTGGCACATTACGCAACAGAGATGACACAGTGAAAGGAATTCAACAGCCCAAATACAATGCATGATGCCCGGACCAGCTAGCCACTAGAAAAGGATCCCTGGGGACTGCCCAGTCAGGACCACTCTGGATATAATGAGGAATCTTAACTTTGAAATTCTGATTGAATTCTGTGTCCATTAAGCATTCTGAAGTAAGTGGACCCCAGAAGGGCGTGGCTATCATGTATCTTTCACTAGCTACTTGAGAAAACTCCTCATGTTTCTCATGAATACACGCGTAAAGTAAATGTGTAGCTATTAAAAAACAAGCAAGGAGATTGTTGAAGGTTCAAAATAGTTCTAACTGCCATCAGCCATTTCGGCCATGGCAGCTTGATAGGCTGTGGATGGATTTTTCAAAGTGAACAACTGCATAGGTTGGGATAAGAAAACTAAGGTAGGTATAACCCATTCTGAGTCTGCGGTTAAAGAGAGATTGCTTTGCAGGGTTGTCTTCATAAGCATTTTTGTATCTTTCACTAAGTGTTACAGATTTTCACTCATATGTAGATTTTCATTATAGAAATAACTCCCTACAGGAATGCAAAAATAGCCCAGGTACACTCATTCATTCATTGTGCTCCCTTCTAATATCCAAATAGGTTTCCTTACTTGAGTTTGGTCAGTTTTCAGTGTTAAAATCTGATTCTTCATATGTATACACACACACATATACATATATATGTCCACATAAATATATATATCTATATATATATCCATGAGAAGCACAGATCATGTTATTTTTTGTGCTCAAGTCAATACTCCTTTAAATAGTTATTGTAAATAGATAAGCACTAAAGATAAGTGAGTTAATTTTTTTAATGCAGTTGGATAATCCTTCTGCCTTACTAATTGAAATCTCGGAGTATCTAGGAAATTGTCCATGTTGGAATGATTCCCTGATTCCGCAAATATAAACACACCCGTGTTTTCAAAGCAACTCTGAATTGTCCCATACCCTGAGAGGTCTGATGAATAGGGGAACAAAAGCATGAGGGATGAGTTTGGGAAACAATCTGACACAGTGACTCATGTACAGGTGGCATTAAGGTTCATTTGTCTGTTTATGAACCCCTTAGTCAAATCAGATTGCTGAAATTAGCCTAAGATTGAGCTAATTTAACAAAGGCATTTTCATGCCAGAATCTAGTGCAACACATGATCTACTGTAAGGGAATGCTTAAGACACACTTCTTAGTGCAGAAATACAAGTTAGTACAATAAAGCAACATCATCAATAGTAAGCATGAATGTTCTTACCAGTTGTGTTACCTATCAAATGCTATGCTAACAGAAATATCACCAGTAGATGCTTCCAACAAACAGAAAACGTATTCTATCTTGCTTAGGATGGGATGAATCCAATTTCAAGGTTCCATATCTGGGGGAAAGTTTTCTGTCCCTGTTACTCTGGGAGAAAATTCTTGTCTTTTCAACATTTGCGGGTTACACGCTGTATCTACTACTTTAAAATGTAAATGCACCTTACATTATACAACCTGACAATGAGGAGTACTTATGCATTGAGCTGCTAACTGCAAGGTCAGCAGTTCAAAATCACCACCCACTCCATGGGAGAAAGGTGAGGCTTTCTACTCCAGTCAGAGTTATGGTCTCAGACACTCACAGGGGCAGATCTACCCTGCCTTATTGGGTCACCATGAGTCGTAATCAACTTGATGGAATTCAGTTTGGTTTGAATAATTGCCAATTTAAGACCAAAATATATTTGATATTTTCAAATTTTCTTTGTTTTGTGACATATCTTAGATCTACAGATATAGTTTTGTGAAAAGAGATATCAAAAGTTTTGCCTTGTGTCTAACCCGAGTGTCCAGTTACATACATTTTAATCTGCTTAAATGAGCATTATATGTATTGTAGTCTAGTGAAATTTCCCATATATGTATATATTTCCTTTCTCACTGGCGTTTTTTTAAAAATAATGTTTGATACATGCCCTCATGGAATAATCTCTGGAGATGTGAGCTCCACAGAAAAGTGTGATAGGAATCAGACAATGTCTGGGTCTCAGACAGAACGGTATCTGGGGTTTAAAGGCTTTTCTTTTTTTTTTTTAACATTTTATTAGGGGCTCATACAACTGTTATCCCAATCCATACACACATCAATTGTGTAAAGCGCATTTGTACATCGTTTCTCAAAACATTTTCTCTCCATTTAAACCCCCGTTCTTATAAGAAGAAGCCTTCCAAGTGAGATGCCAGGAATTAGCACACCTGCCTGTGTAATGGAAACATTTTAATACTTACATTTAGGATCAGAATAGGGTATTATATTAGAGCTTAAATTCTGAGCAACTGGTTTATAGAAGTCTACTATGATGGTGACTATCTAAAATCTACTTGCAGAATGCAAGTGTGGATTAAGCCTCTGTTGAATTCCCTACGATCATAGGTCAAGGATATGAATAGCTCTATCCTGGATATAGTGCATTGGAGACTGGACGACTTCTATTTCCCTGACCAGTCTAGGGAGGGGCAACCTCCCTTAGGCTCTGACCTGGGTGCTTTCTTGGTGGGGAGTGCCACAATCGGATTTGCATGGTCATGAGCCCTGCCCAGCCACCTTGCAGAAGTCCCTTAATCAATATTGTGAACTCTACTGTCTTATGAAACACATGTGTACCACTCATGATCTCAATCATGCCCTGAGAGCCCCACCTTTATCTTTGTTATATGGATTTGCCTACAACCATGATTATGGGACAGTATTGTTTGACCCCACCCCCTCATGCCTTTTAAAAGCTAAGGATGTCAACCAAAACTTGGAGACCATTATGATCTTGTGCTAGTTGGCTTCCTTTTCTAGTTAAAATGCCTATTGCATTGGCTTGTCCTTTTCCAGTTTAAAACGTAATCATTTTTCTTTAGAATTTTTTTTAAAAAAAAGGAAAATGGGCAAATTTTTAAATGTGTCTTTTATGACTATTTCCAGTAAAATGGGAATACCAGACACTACAAAGAGTTTTGGCGTTTTGGGAGATCTCTAACAGGGGCCCTTTTCCAAGGAGTTTTTGGCCAGCAATGTACCAGTGGCCTGATGACTAGGAATATCTCCAATGCTTGAATATCTAGATGTCATTATAACACATATTTATAAGTACTGGAAGGTACAAGTTGAAGCAAATCAATTTCTCATTCAAGTAAAGGCCCTGATTATAAGGGTTATTTTCCAGGTGAGACTTCATGAGGTTTTTCTAAATTAAACTGAAAACAAATAGAGCTGTAGAAAGAACTGTATCATTCCAACCAACCAACCAGCCAGCCAATTAACCTTTACTATACAGTGAATTTCAACTCAGCAACCCTGCAGGACAAAGTAGAACTGCCCCTTTAAGTTTATGAGGCTGTAACTCCTTATGGGATCAGAAAGCCTACCCTCTCTTAAACAGCGTGGGAGAAAGTGGTTAATCACTTGGAGCGCTGCACTTAGCCTGATGCATATAATTCACTATGCCACTCCAGAGCTCTTTAACTTTTTGGTAGCAGCTTCAAAAATATATCCTCAACCCCATTTTCAAATGTCTATAGTGTTATCTATTTTTAGATGAGACTTCATATGTAAGTATGAAATGACTTAATTCTAGGAATTTGAAGAGATTTGAGAATGACAGGCTTTTTACACAAGGCCTATCTAAATTCCAGAGGGTACTTCTGGGAACAATTCTTCCTCCCCCCCCCCCATTCATACGCAAAAACTTAAAACAAAAGTTTGAAAGGCTTTTATATGAACCCTATTAAGTAGATCAGAATGCCAATAAGAAGAGTCCTTGTTATAATCATGAGTCAAAATACTCTGAATTTCACGGGCTAAGAAATTATAATAGGAGCAAGTTATAACAAAACACCTACATGTGTGCGCGCATGTGCACGCACACACACATACACACACAATGTTCCACTAGTGTCTTGTACAATGTGAATGATTTCATCTTTTCCTAGGTGTGAATGTTTATAAAAATTGAAAATCATAGAGACATGTAAAAAATTTGGTAGGATAATTGTATGATCAGTTTCTAGCTATAGTTTAGTGGTAGGAATGTGCTAACAGCTAGCATTTGTCCAAACTTTAAGTTTGCTTTTTGAAGTTAGTGTTGGTACTTTAAAAAGAGGTCCAAATCTGATGAAAGTCAGGATTAGGCACATAACTTTTAGCCATCACTGGAATGATGGCCATTCCCTCTTCTTTATCAGGATGTCAAAGAGATCCCTTTGTGATTAGAAATGATTTGGGAAGCAATCTTCTTCGCTGATTTATTGGCTAGATTGTTCTCATTCATTTCTGCTTTCAGAGGGGTGTCCTTTGATGAGATTTTATGTGTAATTATTGCAATGTCCTGGGAAGGAAAAGTGCTACTAAGAAGATTGCTACAAAAAATATTTTTGATCCAGATTCTATAAGAGGTCAGGAACCACTTTTGTTCCATAAGTCCTGAAATCATAGACCATACCAAAGCCATACCTGAGTCAGAGCAAATATTGATTGATTCCCTAGAATCCTTTGGAAGGCATTGATTTGTAATTAACAGAGCTGTGGAGCCAGGTGACTTCAGAAAGAATTACACAATTGAAAACTTCAGTAGAGGTAGTGATGGTAGACACTCTGGTAACTGAACATGTGTCATTAGACCTTAAACTAGACCTATACATAAATAGCTCTAGAATCCAGATTCGCAAGAGGAGTTTCTTATACATCACACCTGGGAGGTAGAATTGTTTCCATTAAATCTAAACAATAATATAATTTGACATTTCTTAATAGTATAATTCTCCACGTTAGTTATTTGGGGTTCATTCACTGTTATGGAGGCATTGTGACTCATAACAATCCCAGTGGGTTTCTGAGACTCTAGCTCTTTACCTAAGCTCAGAGCTGGAGTGGTTTTAAATTGGTAATCTTGACGTTAGCAACCCATGTTGTAACCACTGCAACACCAGGGCTTTTTCTTTTTGCTTGGAATGGTTCCTCTTTAAAAGGTCTTGTTAAAAATTGTTTAATGATCTTATGAGAGAATACTATTTTAGCTTTTGAGACATATTCATTTTAAAAAAATTATTAATTACTTGTTCAAATACACTGGGCCTAATATTTACTTTAACAAAATTTAAATAGTAATAGTGGGACTATTTCAATGAAATCAGTCAGACATAAAACAGTTCCTAGCACCCAAAAAGTCTGATTTAATTATACATAATTTGGAAACTGATATTAAGCAATATCAGATTAATAAAAATTGAATCAATTAAATTCATCAACATACTTTAGCATTTATTTTTAGCCTCAGAAATCACTAAATCACTATAGCATATCCAATAGCTTTGCCTTTAAGGTTATTGATACTATACAGTAATATGACCATATAATATGTAATCTGCTACCATTTAACAAGAACCGTTAGATTTTATTTAGACTTTTATATGTGTAAGGAGACCTGGTAGCATAAGGGTTAAGTGCTTGACTATTAACTAAAAGGTTAACCCAGAGGGTCTAATAATCTCCTCCTATACAAATTATAGCCTAAACTACCCTATAGGATAATTTTTTCCCTGTCATATGACATCTCTGTAAGTTTAAGTAGACTTAGATGTACATAGCAAAAACAACATAATATTTATAACTTTTCCTTCAGACAATCAAAATACTAGAAGAGTACACTTGTAAATGAATTACCCCTTAATTATATTTTCTAGTACAGCAGTTATTCTGTAGATAAATGTCTTTTAATGTGTTCATAGAAATAGGTTCCATGTGATGGATACCTGCCCCAAACAGAATTGCACTGGGCAGAGTGGAGCTTTTGTAGCATACACTTCTCCTGCGAGGCAAGCATCTAGCAACCATGTTAGTACACCCGGTGGAGTGGCCTGGTAGGATTCTCTCTTCACAGTGAATTTCTCATTAAAGCGGTTTCTCTCGAATCTTGTATTTGTGATGGCCAATTTAAGAGAACAGTGTGTGACTGTGAAATGTTGTTTCTTGATTGGGAAAAAATGCCGCAGAAACTGTTGTGATTGTTGAACACGGTTTACAAGGACAGTGCTATGGGAAAAACTCATGTCCGAGTGGTTTTCTCATTTTGAGAAAGGTGATATGTCGATTGATGATAAACCTTGTTCTGGATGTCCATCAACTTCCTGAAGGAATGAAAATATCGACTCTTAGTGATGTTTGAGTTTGTCCCACCAGGTCAGATTGTTAAGCAAACTCTCTATTTAAAGGTGCTGAAAAGATAGCGTAACAGGATGTGATAAAAAAGGCCTGATTTGTGGTAGATGAGGGACTGTTTTTGTCACCACAACAATGTACCTGCTCACTCGGCCATCTCAATGTGCCAGTTTGGGGCATTAAACAGCATGCCTCTCTTGACCATTCACCTGACTCATCTGGCCTTGTTCCGTGAAACTTCTTTTTGTCTCCACGAATGCAAAGGGACAGTAATTTGATGATATAGAAAGTGAAGAGAAAAATGAGGGAGGTGCTTTCAGCCATCCAAACAGACGAGTTTGAAAAATGTTTCCAAGAGTGAAATCGCAGATTTGACAAATGTATTAAGTGTAATGGAGAGTTCTTTGAAGATGATAAGGTCGTCTTGTATAAAAATGTAAATAAATAACTTTGAAAAAAAATTTCATTTTTGTGGGGCCCCCCTCATATATATGATATCCACACAAATCTCTTGACTTTCAATTGACCTTTTTGTAATATCTATTATTGAATGTTGTTTTACCTTTAAAATTGATTGATACAATTATAATTAGCATTAAAGGGCAAAAGAACCACTTCTGTATCTCCTTTGCTACAGTGCTGTGATAAGAAAATGATTTTCCCTTATAAAAGATAGTAGGCCATTGAGAGCAATATTCTGTATTATATCATAGTTTGCTACAGGCCAAAGCTGGCTGCATTAGGTGCATACAAAACCCATGGCCCAGATCGTAAAAATATGTCTTACTTACACAGAAATATATGTCAGCATATTGATAAGTATGTGTATTTTTTATTTGAAAAGAAAACATTCTTGTTCTTTCTCTTTTAGGGGTGCATCTCCAGTTTGTAAATTTCTCTACCGAAACCATACATGATTACTTGGAAGTAAGAAGTGGAGCCTCAGAGACAAGTACTGTCATTGGCCGGCTTAGTGGTCCTCAAATACCATCTTCCATATTTAGCACGACTCATGAAACCAGCATGTACTTTCACAGTGACTATTCCCAAAACAAGCAAGGATTTCACATTGTATACCAAGGTGAGAAGAAGAATATACGGTTAAACCATATTTAGCCCCTACTCGTGTACTAGCAATTTTTAATGAACTGTAATTTTTACATTCTATTTTTAGAAAGAGAAAGGAACATTCACAAAGCTAGCTTAAATTAGGAAGATATTTTTATTTGTTGTAAGCATAGCTTGTAGGCAACTGTGCAGGGAAAAAGATGCTTTTCTGAGACCTAAGAAAATCCTTATCATGAAATAAAGGATTGAATTAGTCTTGCGGTACTACATAATCAAATTAAGCAAGGCAAGACGATTAAACAAGACAAGCTGGATATCAAAGATCAATCTTTGTTTTTGAATCAAAGTGAATATTATAAAGATATTTTAGAACAGATTTTATATGTAAAATAATTTAGTTTTAATTTATAGTGATAAAATAATATATTCCCTGATTTTGTTTTCCTGCTAAGAGAATATAAATACTTAAAAACAATATTATATGAAACCTATCTTATAATATTATAATATTGCTAGAGAAAGATTTCTATTCCTTTCCAGTGCAAGGCTTTTCTATAGATAGAACCTGCCTCATAGTGATTCTCCATATTTTAGCTAACATGGCCTGTGGCGCTCACTTCGTTTCCTCATCTCTATTATAGGGTTTATAATAGTGTCTACCAAATTGTTTTGAATTTTATATAAGATGTGAATAAAGTGTGCGTCACATTATTATTTGTATATATTGTGAAGTTTACAGAACAAATGAATTTCTCATTGAACAGTTTGTGGACATTTGTCTTGATAATGTTCGTTACAGTGCTGTCAGTATAACAGCACCCTTTCCACCTGCTCCCTGGACTCCTTGTTCTCACGCCTCCTTCTTTCATGCTCCTTCCTGCCTCTGAGCTTGTTTCTGGCCAAATATGTCATGTTCTGAGGAGGATTTTCTCGCCGGTGTTATTGTTGATTTTATAAGCCTGTCTATTGGTTGCCTGCAAGGTGATCCCAGGGATGAGTTGTCTCCAGGGTTAAAACATATTGAAGGGCCACAGTCACAGAATTTTCTACCAGTTTCTAGCAGACCAGGTCATTTCTTTTCCTTTTATGATTTTGAATTTTGTTCTATACGTTTCTTTCATTCTGTCCAGGACAATTTGTGTGGTCAATTAAAAGGGTCAGGGGTGTTAACTGGGCATCCTCTAGGTTTTGTGGTCTCAGAGTAGAGGCTGTAATTTGTGTGGTCAATGAGTCCTTGGACCAATTGTTTCCTAGAATTTTTCATTTTCTTCGCTCTTCTTTCCTTTGGATGGGTAGAGACCAATCGTTGCCTCTTAGATGGCTGTTTGCTAGCTTTGTCTTTGTAAACTGTGTTATGCCAATTGACTTAACTGTTTTGCGATTGTTTTCCTAAATCCCCAAACCCAGTTTCTCGTTCTCTAAAGGTTTGGGGGAATGGTTTAGAATGTTTTATAACTTTGTCTCCTGTTTGTTCTGTTGGGACTGTGTACGTAATAAAGTATTTCCTCTGATGTCTATAACTCTTGTAGACATCTGAGTATCTTCCATTGCCTTAGGGATGTTGGACTGATCTCCCCTTTATTGTAGGTTGCCTTTCCCATCTATAAAGGGACCCTGGTTGCACTGTGAGTTATAGATTGGGTTGCTAAGTACAAGGTCAGCAGTTCAAACCCATCATCTGTTCCATGGAGAAAGATGAAGCTGTCTGCTCCCATAAACTTTTACAATCTTGGAAATCTTTTTTGGTGTAACTATAGGTTAGAATTGACCATAAAACTTTGGGTATTATCCATTCAGTTTATTTTAGCTATTATTACTGTACTATTTCAGATGTTAAATGTATAGATTCTATTAAAATTAAACATTTAAAGTTATCATTTTCAACATTCAGTATAGTTCTATGGACAGTAATTTTTAATCGAGTTACCTTAAATCTTGAGGATACAACACTGTGGGTGTGAGCCCCATGATATCACAGATTTTTATGTTGTTTATGCATGTAAGTGCATAGAACAGGAGGAGCTCAATAAATATTTTCTGAGTAACACGATACACCCAAAAGTCTACCTCAGCGAATTTAAAACATACATTGCAAACATCAAATTGTATTGATTAAAAATAGGTACTATTTGGACTACCCTTGCATGTGTAATTTAAGGCCATGATAACAACATCATCCTTTACCAAAGATAGGAATCATGTCTGTACTGTAGGTACAGAATTAACAGTCCTGAAAAAATGGAAGAAAAATGTGGAATGAAGTTCAAAATCATAAAGAAAGACCAGGCTGAATGGTTGAATAGAGACTGGTGGAACCTCCTAAACGCTGACCCGTCACCGTTAGGTCTGGAAATGGACTCACTCCATGTTCAGTCTTCAGGCAAACAACAGATCGATCTCTAGGGCAACACTGACACCATAGAGGAGTTCCACCATCTGTGATTTTCTTAAAAAGCAGATTTTACTCAAGGACAAATTTCAAAATTGTTAGGAAAGAAGGAGAAATGGAAACAGGAACCACAAGGAAAAAGGGGAATAAGAGATATTAAATTGTGGGGATTACAATCAATGAGATAAAACACAATGTGTATGAATTATTAAATAGAAAATTGATCTACTCTGTAAACCCTAATCTTAAGGAAAAGATAAATGAGTCTTTGAATTAGGATTTGTAATTTGAATAGATACAGCATAAATATTATAATTTTGGTTAACTTTACAGAAGTGATGTTACTATTAATGAGTTAAGCCATAAATTATTAAGAAATACTAAACATTGTGAATTACATTGAGTTGTTAAAACAATATTATCTTTTATCGCATTATGCAATTGAATTAATAGCATTGCTTAAAAACAAGGCTAATCCAAATAGATTCTAAAATGAATATTATTTTTAATTGATTTAACAGATTATAAAAGCTTTCTGAACTTTGAAAAAATTCATATTATGCCATTAACCATACTCTTCTACTCAAGGTTTAGGTTTCAAATTTATTATTATGCCAGGAACACTGTTAGGTTAAATCATGTTTTGCATATTATTTTACTATAGGCATATTTCTCTGGAATATTTAATATTTTTCTCCTATACACTTCCTTATTAAACTACAAAGCATAAAGCCTTGTATAAATTACTAAAGAATCATACATTTATCTATAATTCATTTCTTAGGTTTTAAAATTACTTTTTAAAAATAAATGAAAATCAGAAGGATTTATTTAATAATATCATCTAATACAAATCCTAATGATAAATTCATACTTATAATGAGTTGTCTTAAAATAGAACGACATTTCTTCTGGATTTGATTTTATGGTGGAAAAACTATTCAAGTACAAAAGACAGATTCTGAATAAAATCTTTTAATATCTTAAACAAACATCCTTATTAATTTAAAAATCTTTGGTTTAAAAGATTGAAGTGAAATTCTAGTAAAATATTTAGAGTAAATTTTTTAATTACAAATAACAGTTTTATTCCTTTTAGGGAGATATAATTTTATTAGCAATTACAATTTAGTTATCAGGTTATTATTTTGAGCTATGTAATTATACAGTACTAAATGTTTATCATTTAAGGGCATGTAAACTGCATATATTGAAATGTTATTCAACAATATGCATCAGATACTTATATGTAAATGAATGGGCCAAGATTTGCGAACAGAATGGTAAATAATAGCAACAAGAACTTTTGTCTCATTCAAGATTTAGAACAAGAGTAAAATCAGCACATAACAATGCAGTAATAGCAAAAATACTGATAACATGATGACAACTTCCTATACTGAAAGGAAATTTGTCTTCCACCACTATCTATTCGGACCTTCTTTGAGGAAACTCAACATAGATATTATAGATTTCCAAAGGTTATTGTAATTATTTTGCTTTGTTTTTTGTATATTTGAATTTTAATATAATTTTTAAAATCTCAGAATATATATGTATATGTGTGTATGTATGTATGCATATATATAAATACATACATACAAGCATGCACACACACATGGTGAAACCCGAAAGTGACAGAATTCTATGTAAGGAAATAATCAGAATTAATTAAAATTAGCTTTAGAAGGAAGTTTATCTTTTCATTGAAACATAAAATTTAGATTGATTCCCTAAACGAGATAAAGAAACAAAATGTATTTTATGAATTATACTAACATGTTAAATGAAAATTTGGAAGCAAACAAAGATTCTTCTTCGGGGGTCACTGGTATCATTTATGGGAAACCTAAATTGTGATTTAAAATCACTGATAAGTAACACAACAAGTTGTAAATGATACTTAACTTGGTTTTCTGAAATTCAAAGGCAAAAACAAGTGCCTTTCATTTAATTTCCTATATTATTTTTATCCCCAGCTTACCAGCTACAAAGCTGTCCCGATCCACGTCCATTTAGAAATGGTTTTGTGATTGGCAGTGATTTCACTGTGGGACAAACCATTTCGTTCGAGTGTTTCCCCGGATACACTTTAATCGGACATTCCGCGCTCACTTGTCTTCACGGGGTCAGTCGTAATTGGAATCATCCACTTCCAAGATGTGAAGGTATGTCTCTAGCTTGAAGCTCGCTGTTAGGTGATCTCAACGGTGTTGTGCAATTTGTGTTTTAGCACGCTTTTTGCCTTCCTCCTCAAGAAGCAGCTTTAAGTTACTCTTTATTTTTCAGTTAAAGAATCAAACTTAGTACCGAAAACAAAAAATCTTAAGACTGTGAAATTGGGGGGAAGGGGAACGTAGGTCTCAGAGAAGGAGACTGTATTTCAGTTGACGGGTCACCAGGGAGGAGCAATCTCCCATGGGGAAAAAAATCTCAATACTTACATAAAACCCAAGGGGAGTATATGTCTGGTGCTATGTTCCTCTTTGGGCATTTTTGAACTAATTTCTACACAGCTCTTGAAGACACTGGCTGTGTGTTCTCGACAACTGGGACTTTTGACTATTGCTTTGAGGCACACAACATCCTTCATGGGCCACACCAGAAGGAACTGATGTTGAAACCCCACTAAGTAAACCAATGGGGTTTCCTTGAAACTTACCTGCAGATCTTGGATTTAAGGCTGAAACTCCCTAGTGTGGGGAAAACTCTCAAAACTGTCAGGGCCGTCTAGTCCATGCTGACTCACAGCGACCCCAGGGGTTTCTGAAGCAGTAATTGTTTATTTCTCCTGCAGAGCGGTTGGTGGTTTTTAACTGCGACCCTGTGGATCACACCCAGTGGGTAACCACTGCACACCCAGGAAGCAGACGACTGCCATCTCCGGGCTTCCACACTGGGGCCTGTTAGACGTTGGTTCTCATTTCTAGCCTTGAGAATGCCAAATGATTGGTGGCCTGGGACTCCTACATACATACTGATTGTTTTCAGTCCCTCCTTGATTTATTAAGGAGCCTAGAGATGTGTTTACTCGTTGGGCTGTGATCCGCATGGTCACCAGCTGCTCCCTGGGAGAAAGTCTGATGTTTCTCCTTCCGTGAACAGTTAGTCTCAGAAACTCACAGGGGTGCCCCTGAGTTTGCATGGACTCGAAGTCCGTGAAAGTGAGCTGATTTATAATGACTGCAGGCATCTGGTAGGCAAGGTTCTGTCCTTGTGAATGAAAACGATTGAAAAATTTGCCATCTCATCGACACCCATCCCCAGAAAAACCAAGCCAAACCAAACCCCTAAAACTTCATAGTAATTAGTTGATGTCATCATTGTTGGCACAGGTGCTAACCTTACTTAATGGATTTTTTCAGGTGCTAACCTTACTTAATGACCATTTCAGGGTTTTTCCTATGTGTGTGAATCTTGTCTGGATAAAAGGGTTGTGCAATTGTTCAGTAGTCACAAGGGTATAAAACAGCAACTAAGGAATTGCTTCTGAATTTGAGTGCCTGCCCTCTAGGAAGCTCCTTTAAAGATGAAAAGGCTTGAACTTCTTATATATGATATGACACCCCCCCCCCAAAAAAAATGGAGTATACTTTTATTAATGAATTTTGGGGGAAAGGAAGCTTCTTGTGATTTATTAGTACGGTCATTGTTAATAATAGCTCTGTAACATCCTGGAATAGAGTTGACCATATTTTGTGTGAGGAGCCATGGTGTTTCAGTGTCTATGCCCTTGACTGCTAGACGAGTGGTTGTCAATTCAAACCCACCACCACTCTGCAGAATAAAGATGTGGACGTTTGCATTTGTAAAGACTGCAGTCTTTTAAACCCTCTGTGATGATTGTGAGTTACAATCAACTTGACGGCAAAAGGTTTGGTACAGGGTTATATTTTGTGCAATGGTTGCCAACTTCGATTTATACACTTCAATTAGGGTGGAAATACAAGACATACATGGATTGTATACTGCTTAAGGGTTGTGGTGTGTTTGTTTATAGTAAGTTTTGTTATTTAAAGAACATTTCAATCTGTGCCTTTTCGCTAGCTCTTTGTGGTGGAAATATTACTGCAATGAATGGCACCATTTACTCACCGGGATATCCTGATGAATATCCAAATTTTCAAGACTGTTTTTGGCTTGTAAGAGTACCTCCCGGGAATGGGATCTACATCAATTTTACAGTTCTTCAAACAGAGCCAATCTATGATTTCATTACTGTATGGTAAGCTAGGACCATTGCTTTGGGTTGATTTAACTGTATAAAACAGTGGAACAAGGTAGGAATGAAAATATACCCCAATCCTCTGTTACAAATTGCCATCTGATATTTGAATTGGTGTGAGTAACTGAGAGTGACAGTACATATGATTTGCAGAATGAAATAAGCAGGAGAAAGATGTTTTGACTTGTTTTTTCATGAAGTAGCTAAGCACTGTGGAATAAAAACTTCATGGATGTCTTAAAGTTTGCTTTTAAATTAGCACGCAACAAGAGAACTAGTGGAGGTGTAAGTTAAAAATAAGAAAGATCTGTATGCATAAGCATATGAAATGTAAGAGCCTATATTTAACTAATTGTTCTTGGTCACTACTCATTTTCTATCATAAACTTTCTCATAAAATATGACATTATTAATGATAACAATGTTATTGAGAGAAATCTCTTGATTTTAAATGTATTATAAAAACTCTATATTCATTATTGGCAGGTGGTTAATAAAACAATTGTAGGATTCCTATGTTATGCTCAGGGTCCTTACTGGTACAAAACAAGGCTACAGTAAAGAAAACCTGGTTGGCAGTGCTACTCTGTGATGGTGTCCGCAAGAGTTGAGTGAAATAAAGTACGGAAGAGCAACAGGATGTGGTAGTCAGGAAATGAAACAATGTAATTGATTAAAACTAATAGAGGCCCATTTCCTATAGGCCAAAATGAGGTCTATTTTTATACTTTGCATTTTAAAATATGTTATCACCTAAATAGACATACAATATATATCCCTTTGATTTGCTGCTTATTGTTTACTTTATTCATCTACCTCTTGACCATCTCACATGTACTTCTTTCATTAAACTTGTATTAAACTCTCCCTCTAAATATATAATTTCTCTCTGTCTCTCTCTCTTTCAACAGGGATGGGCCAGACCAAAACTCACCCCAGATCGGTCAGTTCAGTGGAAATACAGCTTTGGAATCTGTGTATAGCACCTCAAATCAGATTCTAATCAAATTCCACAGTGATTTCACGACCAGTGGATTTTTTGTGCTTAGTTATCACGGTTGGTGTTCTCTAAAAGTTTGCATTTCATTTGGCATTGTTTAATTTGTTTCAGAAATTTTAAATATATTTTAACCAATAATTGAAAAGTATTAAATTTTGACATTTTATATCACTGTAACTTTAGCATTTTCACTACATTTACTTGCAAATGATAACCTCGTCCAAGCATTTAGGAACATTAAAATGTGAGCAAGCGGAAATAGGAAATAAATCAGTCAGTAATTATCTATTAGAAAATAATCATTTTTTTTACATGGAAACCCATAAACGAGAGCCAGCTGTTCATATTTGAGTGCATGTAATTTTGAAACATCAATAGATTTTTTAATACAAAATCTTTAATCTATTCAAACTTCTGTGCCTCTTTCTAAAATTAGCATCAAATATCTTTACGCTTTGGATAAGATTAGTCATTCATGTTAATTGTGTTTCAAAACTATATTCTAGAGTCTTGGATTTTTAAGCTATTTCAGATCACTAAGTTCATAGTATTCACTCCTATAGAATGGTTTATAAAGAGTCTAGTTTACTTTGTGTAAAATTGGTCCAAGTGGTATTACTTTTAGGAAAGGGCATTCAGAGGTTTCACAGAGTCTGTTGTTATTTTCCCTTTTTCCTGTAACAAAAATATATTTTATTCATTACAAATCAGAAAATATTAGCTTTTAGTGATTGTGTTATTTAATCTGTTATGGCCGTACTTTCAGAAAAAAATCATTTTCCTTCATAAAACATTGTCAGACCAATTCCAAAATAGGTCACAAGATTAGCAATCTACTAAATTAAATTTGCAAAGCATAATAAAAATATTCAAAGTGAACATGTATGTTATACATTATATAATTTACAGGTTAATGGTTTTCATCTTTTTAACATAAAAGTAACAAAATCTTTCATACTTAAAGCTTACATTCCATGAAAACTATGGTATGTGAAATATGATTATGAACATCAGGATTGGGTATGTAAATTGAGAAATGACCATAAACTATTCTATTTACTTAATCTGAACATTTGTCAGTCAGCAGATGAGGCATAATTAATAAAGAGTCCTCGTAAAATAGTTGTTATAAGTGTCTGGCTGCTGACTGCAAGGTTGGTGCGCAAACCCGTAGCCTCTTCTAAGGAGAACGATGACCAGCTTCTGTAACGATGACCTCTCGGAAATGACCTCTCCTCTAGGGGTCGATGTGAGTCCAAATTGACTTGATTACAGTGGTGAGTTGTTTTGCATCCTGTACTGCTTCACAGCTGCCAGAAGTGCACACACACTCCAGCATAGACAATTAGAAACAAGTAGACAACATTGTGTATCTCTTGAACAATTCATTACCCTTTTCCTGTTGAGTTGCTCACTCACTGATGCAGGCCGTAGGAGCGAGGAATTAACCACTGCCCCACCAGGGCGTCAGGTAGATACGACCTCATACTGTAATGATAGTCTTACTAGTTTGATACATAACCATAATGTAGAAACCAGTACATGATTAATTGATTAGTAATATCAAAGATGAATTAGTTGCTGAGATATATTATGTATATTTTTTACCCTCATGGACCCATGTCTAAATGCTCATTATGTTTGTGCCTTGTTCAAATAAGTAATTAAAAAGGAGTATTCATCAGTATATTATAAAACTATGTTAATCTTACAGATACAGTCAGTCACCTTCTTAAAATACTTAGGAGACATTTCAAAGGGAAAATAATGTCAGAAAAAATGTATGTCAGTGTGTTTTCAGATAGAAATTACATGACAGAATGTATGTAATGTATCCACACTCAATGAGCATAGATTTACATGGACACGGTTGTATATATACACCTTAGTTTAGAATCTACATGGTAATCATGTATGATAAAAATTGTATCAGATCCGCATAAGCCAGACCAAATGTTTGTTCAGCTTTGATTTTCAGTTGACTTTGGTCAGTGTACCTACTCTGTAGCCCTTCACTTTCCTTAGCTCTAAAGCCAAACATACAAACAAACTCACTGCCATTAAGTTCCTATTGTCTCATAGTAACCTTATAGAGCAGGTTAGAACTGTTGCTGTGAGTGGCTGAGACTAAGAAACTCACCTGGGGTAGGGATAACTATGGTTCAGCCTGGAAGTGAGTTTGGAATTTGGAACTGTTTACAGGATTAGAAAACCCGTCTTTCTCCCAAGGAGCTGATGGTGGTTGTGAACTGCTGGCCTTGCAGAACACAGCCTAAGGAGTAACCCCTGCAGCATCAGGCTCCAAGCAATGTAATTGCCGAGATCATTGAATGATGTACCACACATACAGCTATATCCTTTATAGTTAGCATATGATAGGTTCTGCCACATTAAATTGTTGCTAATAAGATGCTGAATGTCATCAAATATTTTCATTTTCTAATAGGATGTTTATTTTTATGTCTGTACTTTCAATGTGAAAATAAGGCACTTTCCAGAGCCCAGTGAAGCCTAACATTTGAATCAACGTCCCTAGATATTTTTCCCAAACTTTAAATTAACTTTAAAATTTGTCAGGGTATCAAGGGTTCATGATAAAGCTAAACATATAATTCATTGGCCCTTTTCTGGTAATTTTCATAAAACCCAATTTCATCCTAACTCAACTTTTCAGAAATGCACAATATCTACATTGTATTCAATCTATAGCCACTTTATAATCTGGTTAACCAAGTCTTCACACACATACACACACACCATGCCTACTCTGAGCCAATAAACTTGGTTCTTTCGTTGTCTCTCTGGCCTTTAAATTTTAAATCACATCATCACTCCCAACCCAATGCATCCCAATCAAGTATTCATCTTTGATTCTTCAGGTAGCCTTGTCTGAAGTTCTAACTCTTCTGTTTCGTAATTTGAAATCATAGTGATGACATTCACCAAGTGTTGAGAACCTGATTATAATGTAGCTTAGTCTTTTATTTATCATACTGGTTTCATGAGAGTAGATAGTTTTCTGAGAGCAAGATCACATTTCTTCTTTTAATCCCTTTAACATTTTATTAAAAGTTATTTATATGTTTTAGTCATATATACTGCATTAAAATGAATTGATAGAAGCTTATTTGACCTGTATTAATAGTGTATTTATCAAGACTATTTCAATTAATAGCCTTTTTAATCAATTAAAAAATAGGTAAATGTATGCCCATTCCCTCATAGAAAATAGATGACTGTTTTCAAGTCAATATTAAGAGAATTAAAATACTATTGGGTTTATTTCAGAAGCCAAGATTGAGTAGATTGTTCAATGCCAAAATGAATTCTTTTAATGATTAAAAAACATGTGGCAATGAACATTTGGTGTTCTTTCATAAGGAACATAATTTGCTATTTTTAACACTTGTTGGAAGCTGATTAATTACTTTATATACTTAAGCATGTAATGGTTTACTCCCTACTCTTTTTTTTTTTAATTCTCATTGATTTAATAGCTCTCTCTGCTATAGCGTACCAAAGGACTCCCAACTGATTTTCTCAGGAGTTTGGATACTTACTTTATAAATTTGACAGATTTGGGGGGACATATTTCTTATAATCACAGTGTTCATTTTTGTTTACTAATATGTTTTAAAGTATACTTGGAATAAAATCTTTTTGTTTTTTTCTAACTTAACTTTATTTCATCTATACTGTCTTTATGGTATCTATCTCTTTTTATATATCATCACCTTCATAAAGGCTTTCATGATCAAAAATGGCATTAATAAAAAAGCTTTGAAAAATGAAAGTTCTGTGCAATGAAAAATATAGGACAAGCATAAATGTTGAAACATTTTACCTGAGAGAATCCTCTCTTCTTCATCTGAAGAAATGTTTTTACCTTTCTCTGTTGCTGGAATTGTAATTCCCTAAAGTAAGAGTTTAGTTTTCTTGATATACAGCCAAGATTGGGTTGACTTACCATAAGTAATAACATGTCAAGGTTATGACCCTGTGAAAGTAAGTTACACAAAGCTAGTTTTAACTTCTTGTTTTGCAGAAAGTGACTTTGTTTAATTGTCACTATAATAGGAATAGCTACCACTTACTGGCATCTGATATGCTAGGCACTTTGCTAGCTGCTTTTCATGTATTATTGATAATTTTTGTAATAACTTTACAAAGTAAGTAGTATTATCTCCATTTTAATAATGAACGAACTAAATGAAAAATTACATAACCTGCACAAAGCCTGCGAATTAATAAATAGGGGACTGGCTAGAATTTAAAACAGGTCTGCCTGTGGCCAGAGCGACCGCTTTCAAATAATGAAAACAAGAGTAGCAATAATAATAATAGCTAAAATTTATTGAGTAACTCTTAAGTGTCAGAGAACATTCCAAGCTAGTATTATATATAGATAATATTTAATGGGATGTAAAACTAAATTTTCTTTGAATTTGGCAAAAATGATGTTCCTTTTCAGCAAGTCTCATTATCAAGAAAATACTTTCTAATTATACCTTCTTAATGCTTTTCGTTTCTTAGTGCTTTTCATGCCCATGACCTACAAGCTGACAATGGCACCTTAATAGCTCCATCACAGTTCAAGGTGTTCTTTGGTTTAGGATTTTTAGTGTGTGCTATGGTTATTGTGAAGCCCTGGTGGTGCGGTGGTTGCTCTTGGGCTACTCACTGCAAGGCGAGTGTTTTGAAACCATCAGCCACAGATGGGTTTTGGGTCTCTGCTCCAACAGCCTCATTCTCAACAATATGGTTTTTTGTTTGTTTGTTTGCTTGGGGTCTTCTGATGCCTGTTCCCCTGTCCCAATGACACCTCATGATCTCACAGGCTGGTGTGCTTCTTCCCTGTGGGCTTGTTGCTTCTCTGCTAGATGGCCGCTTTTTTAACTTCAAGCCTTTTAAGACCCAGGTGCTATATCTTTTGATAGCCATGCCTTCACAGAAGGGTCACAAGGAAGGGATGAGTCAACCAGGCACAGTATAGCACTGATGAAACACACAATAGTCCTCTGGTTCCTTGAGGCTTCCTCACCTCCCATTATCATGAC